TGTCAGAAGCAATGTCTGGTGGCTAACAGTCATTCATGAAATTAAGAGAGGAGCTGTTGCTGACTTTCTTCTCTTTCTTAACCTTTTTTTAAAAAAAATTATATAATTATTGTATATTTGTATGTAGTATATATGAAAATATTACACTTTTGCTCATACATGTAAAATTGAGAAAAGCTAATGTACTTTCTCTCTCTAGATTTTTTGTAATTTGTAAGGGTGTCAATTATTGACACAACCCGACAACCCTACCCGAACCTGACTCGAAAAATTTGGGTTAAGGTTGACCCATTTAACAAATTGGTCGGGTTCGGGTTTTAGCTTTCGACTTGTTTAAAAAGCGGGTCTGGTCCGAGTCAACCCAATAACCTGAAATTGACCCGGGATTTAACCGGCTGCCAACTCGCCCTTGCATAATCGCAGCTGCGACTGGTACTCCGCAGTCTGCACCGGCCAACTGGAGTCTCTACACACGTCGAACCACACATGCATTGGACTAGATCGACGTCTCGTCGAACAGAGGAGCCGCATCAGTCTCGCCCGCCCTCATGTAGAACCCAGGAGCCGCACCACGCTTGAAGCATCGCGTTAGGCACGCAACAAGGCAGCTCTCGCCCTCACTCAAAATGCGCTCTAATGGCTAAATCCCGATCCCATATCTCGTTAGCGGGTCGGGTCGGGTCAACCCGGTAACCCAAACAGATCGGTCCGGGTTGACAAATCTTACCATTTTGCAAAACCGTGTCGGGTTAGTGTCAACCCATTTACGAACGGTCAAGTCGAGTTCGACTCGAACCCGACCTATTGACCCGCAATTGACACCCCTAGTAATTTGGTTATCTTCTATATTATTTTTATTTCCTTTTATGGTTCCATTAATAATAGTATGTTATCTTCAAATCAATGATTAGAGATCTAATTAGTAATTAATAACCATAAGCTTTTTATTGTTAAACAACCACTGATCTCTTGTGCTAGCTTAGTTTTCAGTTGGTAGAGCTGCCTGACCCAAGCTAGGGAGGGCTCCACTTGATCATTTTTTTATGATGGGTCTTAATTTGATCTCTACTAACTTTTATGGATAAAAGGAATAGTTAAGGTTTTGTTTGGAATAGCTTTTTTATTGCTTTCTAAAACTAAAATTTTTATACTAGAAAGCTGTCACCTTATTGTCATTGAGGTGCTACTATACTCAGTCTCATCATAATCATTCTATTGGTGTAAGCATTGGTAAGTCTTTTTGTCTCTCTAATTGCTTGGAGGTGGATAGCTCTATTAATTAAATTATTTAAATTTTATAACTAAGTTTCGATTCATAATTTTTATAATATTTAGGGGACTATTTGATTGCGTGATAATGGGGTGTAAAGTATTTTAAATGCAGAGATATTGAGAATATTGATATTTGAGTAGAAGTAAAATAAATGCAGTGTAAAATTTTAATGCATTTAAAATTCACCCACCAGTTCATTTTTGATGTATTTAGAATTCCTCAAATTTGGGTGAGTTCCAAATACACCGGAAATTCATTGCAATTGTCACCGCTGGTCAACCGCTGCCGCACTAGGCCACCACCTTCGACCGCCAATCGTCTGTTGCTAATGTCGACCACTATCCTTTTTACACGTTATATTGTATTCATTTCATTTCAAATCAAACAAAAAAAAGTTAATCTCATGTTTCTTTTATGCTCGCTAAAATATTCATTTTTACATTGCATTCCTTTTTCAAGTAGTCAAACTGCCCTAGGGCATTTCCACATATTATAACATTATGATAATGTTGTCACATTGGTATACTACTTGCCCATCATAAGTCGATGAAAATTGCCAAATTTACCTATAATAATGAGGGGAAGTGGACTCCACAAGACCTTTTTTGTGCCTATAGTCCTCACACCATAGGGTTGATTAACTTGGTTGAGCTAGCTAGGTGAGGCTAATCCTACCTTGAATGGGCCTATCTAAAGCTGTTTTGCAACCCAATTAAAAAACATTATTTTGTATGATTCATTTTCAAAAATATCAAAATATATTTTAGTACCTAAAACCATCTCTTTAACATGAAATAACAAAACCAAGCCACATTATCAAGGTTCATTTTATTGCTTGATACTCACAATGTCTATGATTTTGTTTAGTACGTTTTCTAAAGCAGTTTTATAGTACAAATATTTTTAGTTAAAAAAAATTATTAAAAAAAATATTTTAGAAAGCAGTAAGAAAGTTGTCCCAAATGAAGCAAATATCTGAAACAAGGGGTGTCAAATTTTTACCCTACCTGAACCCGACCTGGAAAATTTCGAGATTGGGTCAACTCGTTTGCCATATGGGTCGGGTTTGGGTTTGAGATTTCTGCCCGTTTACAAAATCAGGTCTGGTTCGAGTTAACTCGGAAACGCAAATTCAACCCGCTTTGGCCCGTCAATCACCCAAAATTTGTTTACCCGTTTCAATGTTGGGTTCAATCCGAACTCAACCCGTGACTCGATTTTAACAACCCTATCTAAAACCCATAAGATCATTCACGGCGAACTTAATACAAGAGAGAAATAATTCAAGTGCAGCTTCAAAAAGAAATGCCAGACCAAAAAGTGAATTTTTAAATGTTGCAATCAGGTTGGTAGATTTTTCTAGTTTTTCTTTTCCAAATCAAATGTTCAAGCAATAAATTCCTTTACTATTCTTGATGAAAAGCTAAAGGCAGCATGTGTGTATGAATTCAAAATTCCAAGGCATAAAGTTGAAAAACAAAGATCAAAGCTCCTATTCTAAGGATATAGTTAGGTGAATGTTTAGTAAATTCCAAGACCCCACAACATATTTTTGTAGCCACTCAGTTCATCTTAGACTTCGTTTGGTACGACTTTCTTACTACTTCTTAAAGCAGCTTTCGATGACAAAAATTAATACTTAATTTTTGTACTAGAAAGATGCTTTAAGAAGCAGTAAGAAAGCCGTCCCAAACGAAACCTTAGTCTGTTGGTTGAGAGCTTTGACAATCAGCTAAGAGGTATTGAGTTCGAGTCTTGTATATGTGATGTGTGTGTGAGTGTCTTAATTGACCTGAAAGTGCTCAAAAAGTATTTTTGTAACTTTTCATTTCTCTACATAGAAAAAAATACAAAATCTAACTTTATTATGTTGTTTGATTATGTGTGCTTTTATTAAAAAGAATAATCACTCAATTTTGCAAAGATTGCTATTATACTCACTAAAAAATTGACTTTAAAATTTAAAAAAAAAAAATCTTTAGCATAGAACTAAAATATAAAAGAGAATAATTAATATTTGTAATGAAATAATTTTTTAGGACTTTTGAGTAAATTTAATCATAAACTCACATATATTCTTGATTTCTATCATATCACATACATTATATATAACTATTGTAATTTTAAATTTTTTTTAAAATTCTTAGTTTAACATTTCTATCCAATGAATTTATTAACTAATTATTTTATTTATTATAAACTAATAATAATTAAACATAATTAATATTATAATGATAGAAAATTAATATTATATTTATCTTGATTATTCTAATCACTCTTACCCATGCTATAACTTTATAATATTGAAGAGAATAAATTTATTATATTTTATTATATTTAATAAAGAATTAACTATTTACTTAATATTCAATTTCTCTTTTTAATTATTTCAAGAGTCAAGACTGACAATAGAGAATTCATAGGGAGAAGTGAAAGGAAGACTCAAAAGAATCTCACAGCTTGGAAGCAATTCATAATCACAAACTATTAAGCCTTCAATCCCACTCAACTTTTAAAAAGAAAGAAGAAAAATTAATGGAGAACCAGAGCTTGAGCTGATGGTCCAGAATTCATGGCTGATTTCCCTCCATTGGTTGTTTTCTTTTTCTATGCGGCCACTGGACCGCATTCAGAGGCGAATCAGAAAGTGTCTGTGTACCGTTATATACCGGGTGACATTGAGCATCCTGATTCACCTCTGGACTGTCCGGTGACAGCACAACAACGATAACGTTAAGAGGGGTACAACATGAGAACTTCTAGGAGATCACTGATCTGATTAATACTCTTGCCCAAACAATCTTAACTACAGAGTTCTGATAAGATTCGGTGCACTAGTGCTGGTACAACTGCGACTAAAAAGAAATGCTTCGTATTTGAAGCAAAATTGTGCAAGGATATTAATTTATTTTAGGATAGGATATGGATATTCTTAAAATTATTAGATTTACCTTGAGATTAACATTGCATGTGAAAGTTTATATTATACGAATCTTAAAGCAAAATAGAGGGACATGATTAATTCATCTCGGTTGTTCAGTTTAATTTTTATAATTAGAAATAAAAATTACAGGATTAAAAGTGGATTAAAGAAATGGAGGAATTAATTAATCCCATCCAGCAAAGCTTTGCTCATTTAACTTCCACAATTCTGAATATTTAATTAATCACAAACTTAATGGTCTGCAAAGACAACTCTGGTTATTTATACTATTTCATGTGCTAATTTTTATGTATTAAACTTAAATCAATTCCTTATGGGACTTTTAGAATCTTATTTTAAAATATTCAAAATATCATTACTTTTTTTGTTAAAAATATTGTTTTTGTTTTACTCCAAACAATTATACATTAAAAAGACATGAAAATTACATTTTATCTAATAAAAATTAATAATTTTGAATATTATCATATAATACACAAAATTACTCTTATATTTTTATAAAAAATGTTTTTTAATAAAATATCATCTATTTTTTCTTATAATCTCTTGCTCTTCTTGCCTTGGTGAAATTATTCTGTGCTGATACAGACACCGTTCGGAGGTGAATCAGAACGTGCCACATCACTCATTTATTGTATACCACAGTTCTGTACCTTTATGTGCCAGATGACGAAATGAGTTCTGATTCACCTGGGACAATCCGGTCACATAATAATTTCTTCTTGCCTTAGAGAGCTATAATATAGGAAGAGAGAGAGAGAGAGAGAGAGAGAGAGAGAGAGAGAGAGAGAGAGACGATTAGCTTGGTCTTAAGATTTCTCCTTTACCAAGAGGGGGTCATATTGTAAATACAGAAGAAGACAACTACATCCTTCTTCCAAAGATAAAGACAGTTCTCCTAGAACGAATCCCTCTTCTCAAAATTCCTCTCAAATGGCTTCTAGCTACTTCTTCTCTACACCAATCATTGCCTTCTTTGTTCTCTTTCTCCTTCCTATTTCCTCCTCCGAAGCCCCTTCGCCGAAGAACCATTCTCGGTTTTCCAACAAAGAGCTTTTCACTCATCTTCAAAAGCTCAATAAGCCTTCCACCAAAACGATTCAGGCATTTTCTTCAGAACAAAAAACCTCTTTTTTTCTTTTTCTGTAGATTTCTGTAGATTTCAAGATTGGATTTTTATTTCCGTCCGTGTTTCTGCACAGAGTCCTGATGGCGATGTAATTGATTGCGTACCTTCGCATCTCCAGCTAGCGTTTGATCATCCGAGATTGAAAGGGGAGAAGCTGCCGGTGAGAAAGATTTGATTTTTAAGAGATTTGTGGTTTGGAAGAGGAGTTTAGGTTGAAGAAAGATTGTATTTTTATTTGTAGGATTTGCCGGAGAGGCCGAAGGGGAATGGGGTTTCCGGCGAAGTGGAAGTGGAAGTGGAAGTGCAGAGGTGGAGAAGTTCCGGCGAGGAGTGTCCGGAAGGGACTATTGCTGTGAGGAGAACTATGGAGAAGGATATCTTGAGGGCGAGTTCGATTCGGAGTTTTGGGAGGAAGCCGGCGGTGATTGTCCGGCGAGATTCCACCGGCAGCGGCCATGAGGTTAGTATAATTTACCATATTTTATTTTATTTTTTTATTTCAAGAATTAAATTTGCATCCAGATTTAATTTATATTTTGTTAGAATTATTTTAGGTTTTAAGTGATGATAATTAGTGCAGTGAAGGAAAATTTTTTATTAATATTTTAAATTATTGATCAAATTATTAATATTTATGCATTTTGGTTGAAATTATGAATAAAAATTATATCTAAATAATTTTGATGATTTAAATTTTGATAGATTTATTTTAAAATTAATGTAATATAAAAATTTTATGTGCAAAACTAATTTTAAAATGAAGTGACTGATTTTCATATATTTTTTTCTAAAAATTATATTTTCTAAAGAATTTTTTTCCATAATTAAGAATCAAGTTCTTAAAAAATTAATCTTATCAAAATGTAAACAAATTTTAAAATAATTTTAGTGGATTAAAATCTTGATATATTAATGTGAGAAATTCTAACTCTAATTTTTTTATTAAATTTTAATTTTTGTTTTGGTAAATAAATCTGAAAATTGTAGAAATAGTATTTTTAAATAAGATAAGATGAAATATCTTAAAAAATAATAATATATATTATGATTTGAAAATAAAAATCTTAATTTAAAATATTCTAAATTATTTTTTTTAATTTATAA